CATATTTTACTACGCGATATTAAGACTGATGATAAGGACTGGTTAGCACCTAAAGCACCATGGATGGATGCTGGAATCTGGTACTAGAACTGGAAGATGAAAGGCAGAATCTCTATTTTCGTGTTTCAGTAGCTATTGATATGTCCAGAAGACAGATAATCACGGCTCCCGCCATCAGGTGGCACTTGCAGCGGCCGACGCCGCTCGGTTTTACGGGAGCTACAACTCAGGCCATCGCCGTCGCTACTCTCGAGGCCACGGGCAGTCATGTGCAATCCTTTCGATGAAATTTGTTCCAGTAATCCATTCTGAAAAAGTAAACGTTCTCAGGCAAACATGGGATGACCTTGTTCGTTTTAAAAAAAATCATTTCAATCCACTCTCACATGGGCAAGACCTGTAGAAAAGGCACATCAGCAATGCCCACCAAAAATACAATGTTCCAAATTTCATAATTTTGAAGCAAGCATGGAATATGGTGAAATAGGCTGTCATTTAACTGTTGGTATCGTGGGTGCAGGAACAGGTGTGGGGGGGGGGCATGCCCCCCCACACACGCACTTTTCAAGGTCGGGGGCCAGCAGTGGTAACTGCCCCCTCCCCCTACACTTTTCCAGATTTAGGTTGCGTTCAGCTCACTTTTGCATTACATTTAAAATACATGGTGATGTAACTAGTTCATCAGTCATCTTCCTCAAGATCCGTCATCTTTTTCGCTTGCCCATTGGCCATCGCTTGGTGCCAGCCGCCAAACTGACGTAACGCGACCTATGGGGACTGCAACGCAGGGCGTCGAGGCTGTTTCTGTGACTTCCCGGCGCGCATGTTCAAAGTCAGATTACATAGTCTTTATTAGTTTTTTCAACTCTGACTGATTTTTGAACATTCTAAGGTGAACATAGATTACCATGTTATCACAAATCTGGACCCCATTCCATCCACAATCTGGGTTTAGGGAGTCCCCAATATCTCTGAAGAACACAGAAAGATGTGGAGCTGGAGTATAAGTGACATTTATTGAACCATCTGCCGCGAATGTTGTCTTGTCAGTCGAAGTTCCTCTGCTGGTACGGGAACAACTGCGCGGGTCAGAAGGCCTCCCGTGTCAGGGACGGGAACAATGTGATGTAAGGTATCCTTCTGAGGGCCTCCGGATCGACCAGGAGATCCCGCCCCGTATCGCCAGAATGACAGCCAGAAGTCACTTGTTGATGGGACGGAATGGCCTTTCAGCCCTTGACCAAAACCGGTAATGTGCCCCCTTTGTTCTACCTGAGGTGCCCCTCGCCCGGAAGGAAATGAGTGGTCTCGAAATTGCTGGGAAGTGTGGGTTCTCATTTTGTTACATAGAGAGGGTCCAAATGAGTATAAAAAGCAACAACAAACAAACAAGGCCATCCCATGCTTGCCTGACATCATTTGTTTTTCAGAACGGATTACTGAAGCAAATTACATCAGAAGTTTGAACATGCCCGCCCGGAACACCTAGAGTGAGGACAACGTTGGTCTGGGCTGCAGTTTCCTTAAAACCGAACGGCGTCGATCATTGCACCAGATCGCCAGATTCCAGCAGCACTTCGCGATGCTTTAAGAGCAATCCGTTCTTATCATCAGTCTAAGAGCCGCACACGTGAAAGGTCCGCCCAGACTACCTTCTAAAAGAGAGATTTGATGTCCTGTGAAGCGTTCAAAAGTACTTCTCTTAAAAGTGTCATCATTTTCGTACATCCGTTGGTCACGGCTCAATCTTAACTGCCTGACGGACGCTACGCGGTCTACAGGGACTGCAACGCCTAGCGAAGACGTTTTTTCACTAAGATTTCCGAGCGCGTATGCTCCATACTACGTCACTTAACTTGTGTAAATACTTTATTTAAGTGTTTAAAGGTAATTATTACAGAATCTTCATCACTTTTGTTCATCGGTGGGGTACGGCTAAGAGCGTTAGCCATTGGGCTAATGTTTCGTGGACGGAGGAGACTGCAACGTCTAGCGTCGTCTTTTTTGTTGCTAAGAATTGCGAGCGCGCATGTTAAAAGATTAACTTTTATAACTTGTATCACTTATTACCTCTGACTGACTGTTAAACATTTCTGGACAAACATGGCTTAGGCACGCTATTCCACGTTGTTGACGACTCTATCTACCATCAAATTTTCATCTTCGAAATCAATCAAACATCGATTTACGATCTACAATACGATTTACAATTTACAACTTGCAATCGCAAAGTACGTAATGTCTGTAGAACCCAATTAAACAATTTTAAAAAAGCTTTTTTAATAGATTTAGAAAGAGTCCACTAAATGATTAGAAATTAGGAGCGTCAGAATAGCATAGATGATAGACTTATTCTGCAAATAAGGCTATTATCCTGCGAAGCTGGATAGCCTTAGTTTCCGAATGGCATATATAAATCGAATAGGCAAGGAAGTGCGCCTGTGCGAAACAATTCCAGATACATGTCAAGCGTAGCGGCAATGACAATTGAATAAAGAGCAATAGGAACCTCCATCCCTACCCTCACCCCTCTTCCCGCGGTCATCGCGCTTGCTTTCCAGAAAAGCTCCTGCAGTACGCCTCGTGCCTGGCCCTCCGACTTTTTGAAACATTCCTCCGCCTATAGTTTTAATGTTTTTCTACGGACCGGTCATCGATGGTCAAGCATGGCAAGACGTTGGTTTTGACCAGAATTGACTTCTGGCAGGTGATATGATTAAAGCTCAATGATTAAAGCTAAAAAATTCACGAATGACAACGCAAATTTTCAGAAGGATGGCCTGATTTCGTTGAGTGGCAGTTAGGACGGAGCTTTATGCAAATATAGCGGCTGTTATTTGTACTTGCAGCACATAACAGCAATTGGCTGTTTTTGTGAAGGTATGGTGCACTCAATATTTCTTGCTTTCCACACAAGAAAACAAACCTTTACCATAAATCACAGTTAATATCCATGATCTATGAAATGCATGGGAAACTGTAAGCCTAGCATTGCCCAAGCCTCGCTCACCGGCCGAAACAGCCGGCAGCTAGTTACCAGCGTATCAAATACGCAAGAGTTGTCGAAACTGGAACAGGTGGTGGCCTTGAGTTGTTTATCAAATTCTGAAGACGACGCAGCCTACATCCAGACCGCAAAGCACTTACACTGTATGGTTTTCCCTTGCTGCGATTGTTACTGTATTTACCATAAAGGCCTTTGTTCTGTATGATTTGTCACTTTTTAGGTATTTGTTGATACGTGCATTTATGTATGAAAACATCTTCTCAACATATGACGTCATTAAGGCACTAGTCAAAGACCGTAACTTGCACTCGGCAGCTTTTGCCTATTGTAGAAAGAGGTCCTGAACCCTACTTTTGCAATTTTTGGTTGTTTTCATGGTCGATTTTCTGCACAGGTAACAATATTTCACGGATTTGGTTGGCATTACTAAGTGTCAATGATATCACTGGAGAGGCACCTATTCATGGATGAAATATTTTAGCTTTCTTTGGTTTGAAGGCAGGCGTGTATTTGTTTCTAGGTCGCTATATTTTTTTCTGATGAAGTATCGCAAGATAAGGCTGGGAGTTCTAGCTGACTGGGATTTATCAGCAATGCTGCCAAATTGCTGCCAGCTCAGAGCGCATGATGCTTCCAAATGCGATTGTTTTCGTTTTTTCGACCTCGGAGTGAGCAAAGATGTCTCATAGGGGGCAGTTCTGGAAACCAAAACAAACGATGCATTGGAGAGCTTTGGACCAAAAAGATGCTGAATATGATTGCATTCCTCAGTGTGCAGGGAGCGGGGAGAGCGACCAAGAAGAGAGTTCTTTAATTATCTTCCAGTCGATCCTGTGAGGCAAATATTCACAGATCAGAAAGCTTAAGGGACCAGCCTCAGCCTTCAAGCACCACCATCTACAGTTTTTGCCAGACACCAGTTGCGCAAGCAAGTGGGGGGGGGGAGCACAGGGGGCACGTGAACCCCTTAGGTTACGAGGAGGGCTGGAATCTTAAATCTGAGGGCTGGAAAGGCCTAAAATGCCGCTCTGAGGTCATACTTAGGGGACTGACCGGCAGAGCCAGGCGCTCTAATGCCACCACTCTATGGAGACTGCAAGGTCAAGTGTCGAGCATTTCGTTTCAAAAATTTGCGAGGCCACATGTTCAAAACTACGTTGCATAAATTAAATCCCTAATCGATTCTGCCTAATGTTGAACATTTGCAGACAAACATGGCTCTGCCATGTTATACAAATTGTGCAACAACTTCTATGTACCATGTACCTTCGCAGGGTCCTAGTTTCCCTGTATAACCGATATAAAATCCGGACGAAGCTTCTCAGTTCTGTCGGTTTAGAAAGAGTCCCCTGGACCATTGTAAAGTGGAGAGCGCCGTCAACCCATTTTATGCAATCGCCTAGCACAGGATTTCTTCACTTTATTATATACTAAATGCATGCAGATTTTAACGGCCGCTAGCCTCCGCCTTCCACTCCAATAATAGACGAAAAAATAAAAAAATGCTCTAAAAAAATTCGTTCTTTGACAAATGAGCCATATCCGGCGACTTTTGTGGGACCTTTAACTATAAGGGGACGGTTTCTCAACTCTGTGCATCTCCCTTGTCAAGATTCTAACTGCACGCCTGCTAAGCAGGCACCTTGCCATTTACTCAGGGGCTCAGCAGTCCGTAACCACCTCTCCATTGGCTGCGAGGAAAAGCAGGGTGGCCACCCAGTTCGTAGCACATCAACATTGTATTCAACGTGGTGGATAGAGATCTGCCTCTAGGGCTGAAACAGTGCAGAAAGAGCAGAACACATGCACAACCCGACTATCGCACCACCCACTGCCACTTTGCATTGGCCACTAAACCTTTGATCCCGGTACCACAACTCGTCCTGTTCACTGAGGCTTCAACAAAATAAGGAAAATTTTTAAAGCAGCAGTATGTCGCCAAATATCCGTAGAATTCTCGAGGCCAAACGTCTCTAGCAACTTGGAAACAATCACGCTGGATGTTGTATCCCGGAAGTGGTGCGGCGATTCTTGTGGGCTGGAACATGAATAACGGTATGAAAGAAATGGAGAGTAGTTCTAAGCGACCATGTGGTTTTTATGTACTGTCCCATGATGTTTTCACGTAAGGACAGCAAATACCATACAGGAGGCTGGCTGTGGTTGTTCACTGAGAAATATGACACTTTGGCAATTGTGACGCAGTGGAAAAACGATTGTGCTTATGTAATGTAATGAACTGAGACTTTCAATGACTTGAAATATGCATTATTTTTTACTCTGTCAATGTAAAGCTATCAGCTGATGGATGTACATGAAATAACTGGCCTGCGGTCCTTGAATAGAATGATAAAACCTTTGGAGCATTTTGGTGAAAGGCAATATGACATCAAAGATTATATGACAAAATATAAAGATAATATGAAATATCATATGACAAAAATCAAAGCCATAGTGTGACTTTTCGTTGAATTAGCGGGCTAACAGCTCCACCTTCGCATCTGTTTTGGCTAAATAGAGTGTTTCCAGCTTTTTATTGCACCAAAATGTTCTACATCTCCTTCTCATCCCACATGTGTTTTATTAACCACAAATACACGCCATTTCACCAACAGATAATTTATGGTGTGCTGTAGGTTTAAGAGTAGGCTGCCATGGTTGAATAATTCTCAAACCTACAGTGAGGTTTATTTACTTGGCTTAAATTTTGAGCCCATGAAATATCAACACAGCACTGTGGTACCTTATGGGCATAAGCAATGTTCTGGCCATTCCTTTCATGACATGTACTTATGTGTAGGGCTGCCCATTTTTCGTTGTGTATCCAAGCGTTTCTTTGTAAAGTTGACAAAATGGGTTTTGTTTGCATTAAACATTCTCACCTGTTAACCTATAGTATTGTGGTCGTCATATAAACCCAGGCAAATGCAGAGTCATCTTGGTTTTCACATTGTCATACTGGTTGGAGATATTGGATTTCTGTCCGTTTAAATTTCCTGAAACAGCATTTAAAAGCCAGAGAACGCGGAGCAATATACAAGCTTGCTGGCCACGCCGATAATAGTAGCTGGTAGTACGGATACCTTAAATTGTTTTCCGAATGCTTTTATTTCCTTCATAAACCAAAACGGTATGACAGGGCGATGGGCGGCGTTTTTACTCACCCATCAGTTTCTAAGGCAACACGAGGAGGAACGAACACTTGTGAAGGACGAGAGATCCACAACAGATGGCGAATGTTTAAGGGCGCTGGGATCTATGCCTGAAAAATTGCCCCCTGTTCATATGGTTTCGCGTACCAGTTCTCAAGTAATGCTCTGCCCTTCAGCGCCACCTAGTCCTTACCGCGACCGCTGCCACTGATCACAGGTCATGACTGTGAAGTGGAAATAGGGACCGCCCTGAAGCGACCCAAACCCACCCCGCCACGGGCGTTTCGAGTTCCGATCCGCCTACGTGCTGGTTTGGAACCCAGACCCCTTAACCAGCTGGTCTATCGGGATGGACCAATGCAAGAATCGAAGTTCTTACTCTTGAACATTTAGATGATGTTTTAGGACATAATGAGGGAAGAAAAACTGATGCTCTAGTGAAGTCCGTTTTTGCACCAGCTTGAAAGCTGCCCTGAAAAGTTGACAGCTGCCTTAATGCTATGCAACCAAGATCATCAATTTAAATTGATGTACAATGCAAATATTGACATCCTTAAACTGTAACATAACTAAGAATTTTTTGAGAATACCTTCGAATCTGCAGAGAGTCGAATGCATGCCGCATGCGACCACGTGGTGAAGTGCAGCCGAGCAGATATTTTTAAAGGTAAACAAAAAACAATATAATTTGACAACGTGCGTTGTTTATGTCACTGCGGTCCCATGGCACCAATAGTTTCACAAACTCATGACTTCTGCAGTAAATCTCACTCCCATTTTAATACCACCGACGTGGTTCCCCCACCTCGGTATGGTGACGCATGTAGCCTTAACTATTTCGCTCGTAAACTTGCGACATAATAGTTAGACTCGCTAAGGTTTCAAGGGCGTCGAACCCTAGCCCCATCCTCTTTACTGTATCTTAGCTCTCGAATTAGATATGCGTGGCGCGTAAGGAAATGGTCTCACTGATGTCAATGCCAGTAAAATATCGGCGGCGGTTATCTCGAATCAATCTCATTGCGGTTCTGATTCTTTTCCTGCTGTTCTAATCCTTCAACGATCAAGGATATGTTGCGCACAAAATAAAACCACGTACTGAACTATGTCGAATGAAGGTTCATTGCTGCATCAAAACATTACCCTGTCGGCAGACACCGGATGGATTTTGCTGATGGTGGCGGCATTGTCTGGAGCCTGTGTCCCAAATGGTCTGGACCGAACGCTGCTGAAGGCATATCCGACTGATTTGGTCAAGAACCAGGCCATCGTTCCGTTCGTCATGTCCACGCTGATGACACAGGTTTGGCTGGGAGCCAGGGGCGACACCAGGGATGAGGTACGTGCCAGGTAACGAGCTCTGTACACCGTACCACTGACTTAGATTGCACGCGCACCGAAGTACTGTCTCAGATCACCCAGTGCACGTAAATGCTTGGAGCGTGCTGAGAAAGGGGGGCAGTGACAATGAACGAGAGCCTTCAACGGCGATGTGTTAACAAGGATAATTTGTGTGACCTCTGCTTTGCCTACCAGATAGCCTTCCACACCCACGGACGAAAATCGGTTAGTGTAACTTAAGCTACCAATGTGTAATCCAGTGCATATTTCGCTAGATTGCTTTAACAGCTTGTACGGTTGTAACAAGTTACTGTTATTTAGCTTGTCTTCAGTCTTTGACATTGAAACACCTCCATGAACTTGTACATCCGAATACTCTTATATCATCTAGAAGTAAAACTATCGGTGCATGCTGAGCTTGGCACCTTTTGTTTCCGCACATTCTTCAGAAATTGAACCTGAAACTGGTCTGTTTCCACTTCCGAACAACAAAGTAAGATGTAAACCCACGAATGGGTTGGACCACTTAAACAATGGCGTGTTATTATAACCAATTTTTATGAACATGTCAAGCATTCGGGCTTGATCAATGCGTTCTGATGAGTAACAGCCGCACCTTTTAAACCTATAATTGCATTTTGCATGATTCTCTTGCCCCCAGATGACGACGCTGCTTATGGAGATGACAGATAAAGGTGCCGAAGCTGCAGGAGCAGGTGCCGTCCCTGGTGGGGTCACAAGCGTGCTGCCTGGACCCATTCAGCGTATGGCAGATCGTCCCTTCTTTGGCATTGTCTGGAACAAGAAACCAAAGATGAACTTCTTCTCTGGGCACATAGCTTCACCATAAGCGAATGGCTAAGATCATGCACGCTATTCTGAGACAAGGCGTAGGACCCACACTGCATAGCGTTGATCGCATTAAGCATGCTGTGAGTGCAGTTCATGTAACGGCGGCTCCCATCATGGCTGGGTGCGACCGACAAACCTAATGTCACACAATCCGGAATAAATGGGTGGAGGGCTGCGATTCTTTCGTGACGAAGTTCTTCTGTCCTTATGCGTCACCTTACCACTGTTTTTGGGGCAAATATAGGGAATTGCTTGTCACTTGCAGACATTCTCCTAACTCATCGCTTGCGCTGAGCACTTTTCGTCCTCTGCACCACTGTTGAAGAGAATGACACGATCTTTGTGCTTTTTAATCTTGGATTTTCACTGCAGTGTGTTGGCGATCTGTGGTTAACGCAATCCGCACTAACTTGGGTAATCTGGTGCTTTAGAAATATACGCTTCTGCGGAAACGTTGTCTGCTTGTCACATTCTACCACTTCGTGAACGAGTTGGGTTTGAAGGATAGAACGAAAGCAGGTTCGATATACGGAGTACGCGCATTGCTGCATTAGTCGTGGTGCTTCCTGAAGAATTGCAAAGAGAGAAAATTTTACATCTCGAGGAAATGCAGGATGTCTATCCCAGAATGTACTGAAGAATGCACAAACATGCTTGAAAATAGCAGTTTCTGCTCCGCCTTGATGCAGGAATTGCACAAGTTATGTGCGTCGGGAAGCGTTTAGCGGCGTTTTAGGACATTTAAGGGAGAGGTTTCCCGCAGTTTTGGATAGTCGTGGAACACATTATAAAGCTGCGCAGAGTTTCCAACAATTTTGACAATGCATACGAAGACCCACATGGCGCACAGCTAGATTCATGAATGCCGATCTTCATGCCGTCGCCGGTTTTTGCCAGCCAGCCAGTCGTCGGTAGGCGGGGCATGTCCCGCGAGTGCAAGAAGGCAGCGGGCAGCGCGGTGTAGTCTTAATGCGAAACGACCTGTACCGGGCTACCCCTTGTAAAGGACCAATCATGCGTCTTACCCTTGATACGGGACATCTAGGATAGCGCCTCTCTACCTTCTGTCCGACGGGGAAGACTGGTGTTATCAACTTCTGTCAGGCTGAAATTGACAGTCATATCACTTTGGGGGCGCTTTGGAGACATGTTGTAACAATGGTCGATCTAGCCACGTTTAAGGCACAACGCGAGCGCCTGACGGAGGCTGCGGGGCATCGGGGGCACAGGCAGGGGTGAAAAGGCGCCTTTTATGTCACAGACACAATTGTGAACTAACTTGTCACTTAGAGTAAAATGTATCAGAAAAAACAACAGTTTGGTTGGAGTCTGGTTGTTTTCACGATGTGAAAAGCTGACCGGCTTGAGAATGTAGCTGATCGTCAATTTATTTTAGGACGCTTTATGGCTTTCCTAAGGACCTGCCAATGAGGTCGTCGCTGAAAATAACTTTAAAAAAGCCCTGTTGACCTATGAGGCTCGTTTGTGGACACCAGGACTCAAGCATCAGAAGTCAACGGAGGACATAGGAGCGACACAAGTCGAAGATTCATCTTGGGCTTTCTGCTGCCAAGAGAAACAGCGGCTTTGAGGCAAAATGCCGATTGCCGAGCATCGCTGGTGTAGGTCTCCCACACTGCCGGTGGCGCCTCAGACTTAACATTCTGACCGGTGGACAGGCAAGAGATAGCAAGTTTATAGTCGTCATTTTTCTGTACATAGTGCTAATGGAGACTGCTGAGGTGTTGAAAAATGTCTTGTGCATCTGCCGATACCAATGTTGTGTGGGCTTCTTATGAAGTACAGCTCTGCGCCAGTACTGATTAAGCAAAGTTAGTGACGGTCGCGAGCGCTTCCAGCTGATTATACGATGACGTCACGTCAAATGAAAGCTTTCAGGTGCCTGTAGACCCATGTTATCGGTAAAGGTAGAGCCACAGCAATGCAGTTTTGCAAAATGCGTAGAGGTGAATGCGCAGAAAGAAAAATAACGGAGGCTGCTTTCGAAATGCACTTGAACTAGTTTTCTCCACAGATTTGGCCCACTTTCTTATAAGACATAGGGGCAGGGATGTAGTGTTTCAAAATTTCTTTTGGGGCGGCTGGACCCTAAAAATGATGAGTAACGAAAAGCGATGAATGAAAATGATGAACACAAATAGAAAACTGCATCCCTGGTTAGGAGGCACAATTCTGTCCCCCCCCCCCCCCCCACAAACTGAGTAGAAACTATACGCTTCTAGACTGGCTGTGTTAAGCATGCATATATCTAATAATTTTATTAGTTCAGTCGTAAGTCTGCTTCAGTGTTTGATGGGCAGCAAATGATATATAAGTGCAAATACCCTCTCGAAACGAATGCGCTTGACGGTAATAATGCATTGTTTTCAGTTGTCTTCATTTTTGCGGTTTGCCGCAAGTTAGTTATATTGCAACGCTTTCTGACAGATTGGGCTCCAGGTGACAGTTCAGATGGTTTCTAATCTCGTTGATGACAGAAAAAAGCACCTTTTCACCCCTGTTGGTGTGAAACACCTCAAGTCCGCATTCCCCACCTCCTGCGTGTTTTGCAAAACGACATCTCTGCGGCCAAAAATCTACTTATAAACTTGACTTTTCAATCACCTAGAATAACATGAGACACAAATAGACAACTTAGAAAACAATAATTGCATTTGAATCCATGCCTTCATGACCCCCCGCACATGTTAAAACAGCGACCTTCATTGCCAAAGACGAGGTTCATTTCAGCGGCTGGAATGTCTGGATAAGTCCTTCACATGTGTCGTTTATGCATCCTCTGTTGACCTCTGGTGCTACAGATTGGGCATGCACAAAGACCCTCCTAGATCAGCAGGGCTTTCAGACGCTATGTACTTCCATGGATGCCCTCCGTTGTAGATCAGAAGAGCCGAGCTGTGCCATAAAGAAACTGATGATCAGCTACGTCCTTCAAACCGGTGAGCTTCCCACGTCATGTACATAACGAATGGCAGCTTAGACAACGATACATACGACCTCGCCCTGCACTCACTTAACCCAGCTCAGAACTACCTCGCCGGTATTTGAAGCCACTTCCGTCAAATAACACGATTTCCAACGAGGTGCATCGACTGATCACGTGCGATGCAAGATGTTGATGCAAACCACAATTCGGACGAGGGTATGCTGCAATGCTGAACTATTCAAGCATAGGGGAAAATATCCCATGAGTGTGGTTGAAGTGTCCACTAAGAACTACGGACTGCTGTCAGTTCTGTGCTGCTCTGAGCTCCACAAACTCGAGTTCACCTTATGACAGCGCGTTTCTGTTTTCTCGTTTCTGCCCTGCCGACCTATGAGGCTTGTTGTTTGTGGATACCAGGACTTAAGCATCAGAAGTCAACGGAGCGACACACGTCGAAGATTCATCTTGGACCTCCTGCTGCTAAGAGGAACAGCGGCTTTGAGGCAAAATGCCGATTGTTGAGCATCGCTGGCTTAGGTCTCCCACAATGCCGGTCGCGCCTCAGACTTAGCAATTTGACCGGTGGACAGGCAAGAGATAGCAATACTTTAATTGTCACTTTATGGTACATAGTGCTAAATGGAGGCAACTGAGGTGTTGAAAAATGTCTTGTGCATCTGCTGATAGCAATATTGTGTGGGCTTCTTATGATGCACGAACTCTGCGCCAGTAATGAATAAGCAAAGGTAGTTAGTTAGTTCCGTGTTGCGGCAGGCCTGCTCAACATTGATGGATTCGTCCAAAGACGTCTGTTACATATAGAAATCGTGCTCACGAAAGCCAGATGTGAACGGCTCGACGATGCTATCTTTATTGACCTTGCACGGTGCATGGTTAATGGCGTTGCGCATCTCTGAATGACCTTGGAATAGTCTGCGCGAAATGGCTGCACATCGTTGCGGGCGTATAGTTCAGAAACTAGAGGCTTATGGGTCTCAATAAGGGCAGGACTGTGAGCTGCACCAAATGATTTCCAACATGGTGGTTTCACTTCAAATCCCTATACAATTATGTAACACCCACATTGAGATTTTCCGAGGCCATTCCTGAAAGGTTTAGGCACAGTGTTGAGATATTGAGTACTTGGGCTCACATCGCTCTTACACATCCTGTGAATGTTAAAGTTTCTATCGCTGACAGTTAATGATCTATGACCTCTTTCTCGAAGTCATGTCGGTGATATTTTGCTTCAAATCAACAAATAACGCTTATTTTCCTAAGAATATGCGCTCCACATAGCGTTTCCAAAACTTCTTCCTTTTTGTGTCACTTCGAATGCCACAGTTATTGTTGCAGTGTTTTTCTAAGGAAAGTTTTTTCCACGGATTGTGAATCAATCCGCGAGTCGGGTTGGCAGGGGTGGTAAGTGTACTTTTTGTCACCGACCAAATTTTTGGAGCAAACATTGTCGCCAGTAGCGTAATACGATATCATATGACAAATTGGTCATTTAGTCCATGCTCAGTACCGTGACCAGTAATCAGGCTATCACAGAAAGCATATTTCATCACTGCCGCTTTCAATGTCGTGGACATAGTCGAAACGTTCAGTCATACACTGCCCTTGAACAAATGTCAGGATAAGTGGCGCTGCTAGGAAAGCAGGCACACCTGCCCTAGACTAATCAGATAGCCCAGTCACAACATGAGTTCTCTTCCACCCTCGGGACTTGCCGGGGCCTCACGTTTAAACTCAATCTACGGCTGGGTTTGCTTTTCTCAACCGCGAAAAAAGAACAACGGAGGATCTCGATAGCCAGGGCTGCAGAATGCATGGTAGATTCCGAATCAGTAGCAAGCGTCACTAGGAATGACGTCAGAAATGAGAGCATTCACGAGGCCATGCCTGCTTATGAAAATCACGTTTGCACCTGCAGCCCTATCTCAACCGTCATCAAACTATCCACCATACCTTAGGCATGCTTCAAGCATGGTGCGACATGCTTTGACTGGTGGGCGCCTTGCGCAGTGCCCCAAGAAGTAAATTGCGTAAAACTTTAACAACAACTTCACATCAGGCGGCTAGCTCGTTCTCAACAAGTTACTAGCCCTGGCAGGAGGGGTGAGGGTGGGCGATGCGACCCCCCCCCCCCCCTATGGTTTTCTGAGGACACCAATGCGGCATATTGTGCAGTCTTATTCAAGTCTTTGCTTGCCTCTGGGGCATCCATTGTTCATACGTTGACACCATAAAAGTGCCCCTGGCAATTCTGGTTTTAGAGAAGCGATGTTTTTGACGACCATTACAAGACGATTCACGGCCGGCGGGTGGCAAGCGATGGTTCTGACCAGAAATTACTACCAACACATGGATGAGGACTGGACCAGATTTTTAGATCGGTTAGCTTAGACGGATTGAAAGGATTGAAAACTAATCAAATACAAATCATCATTTAATAGTCCCTGGAATGCTCAATGATGCACACTGAACAGCGCGGCAGCTCAGGGGGTGAGGAACAGCGCCCCGCTCAGGGCGAAAAACGCTGATGTCACTGACGTTTATCCCGAGGTACCCGAGATGTGCCGGGCCCAAGCCAATAAAACTGACATCACGACAAATGGCCTTCTTTAATGGCTCTTGCCCAGCCACGAGGCAGCATGTGAGAAACGGTGCCTGGTGTTCTCTGTACAGAGAACACGGCGAACATAGAATGATAGGCGTGAACGTCGTGTACGCAGTAGGGTAAGGGGAAAATATAAAACCAAGCTATCCGGGACCAAAACGCGCTTGCATTCATGTTTATAAACCAGAAGTCGCGACCAAAAGTGCCATTTAAATACTTAAGATTGGGCGCATGGTAATTTTCAAGCACAAAAACAACCGTCAAGCGTTAAAATCTGAACTGATAAAAGCTCTGAGCAGAGCAAGATAACGGTGAGTGATGTGAATCGAAGTCATTTTTCAGCAGTCGGCGCCGGGGGATTACAAACGACGCCTGACTGCTGTGTGCATTTTATTGCCGACCATCAAAGAGCGTCACGCACATAGATATTGCCAGCTCCATTATAATCTTAATCCTCGCCAACACCGATCGCGAATATTGTCGATACGCTCGTCCTGAAAAGGAGAACAGCGCCCCGCTCAGAGCAGCTGACCGGAGCTTGCCGTCGCTCCGATCAGGACCAGCTGACCGGAGCTTGCCGTCGCTCCGATCAGGACCAGCTGGCCGGAGCCTGCTGTTTCTCCGCTCAGGGCCAGCTGACCGGAGCTGCCGTCGCTCCGCTCAGGGCCAGCTGGCCGGAGCTTGCCGTCGCTCCGCTCAGGACCAGCTGACCGGAGCTTGCCGTCGCTCCGATCAGGACCAGCTGGCCGGAGCCTGCTGTTTCTCCGCTCAGGGCCAGCTGGCCGGAGCCTGCCGTTTCTCCACTCAGGGCCAGCTGGCCGGAGCCTGCCGTTTCTCCACTCAGGGCCAGCTGGCCGGAGCCTGCCGTCGCTCCGCTCAGGACCAGCTGACCGGAGCCTGCCGTCGCTCCGCTCAGAGACTGCCGTCGCCGTGACAACACAGCCATAAGGTAATGGACTCAATACTGTAATCGCATGCAGCCTTCCTCAACGACATGCCGAATTTAGCCAGGCGACGGAACCATCCCAGACGCCGAAAAGCGATGTTCCTCGCGCAGTTTTCCTGGCGCCGCTTCCACCAAGGAGCTACAGGAATGAGGTAGGATAACACTGCCGGAACACAGGGAAGCGCTGGTTGGCATCAGCAAAGACATTCATACTAGATAGGGCAAGTGAATAGAGTGGTCCACTTGCTGGCAAGTAAAGCCGGGCGCCACGTTGGTAAATACGAGAAGAATAGACTGGCACAGACGGCACTATCGCGGGGCATGTGGCGAGGTCGTTGTGTAATATCCGTAGAAGCAAGAATTAAAGGTCGAACCGATTTTGAAGGTCTCTACGAGATTAAGCCAAACGTCAACGATCCTGAAGCATTTATGCCTTGTATTTCACTGTTCAATGGATTATCCGCATGGAGAAATCCCCTGCGCCGACCCCTACGACCGCTGCCTCTGCGCACGGTCCGCAGTGCTCACACCGAGCGATGGTGAAGCCGCTATCTCCCTGTCTACCTGACGCTGCTGAGCTCGCGGGAGTCGGCTGCAGTCGCATCCGATGTGTACGGACGACATCCGCTCGGAAAGCCTGAGGAGCGTGGGCCCTCGCCTGATGACGGCCGCGGCCCCTCCGCTCGTCCGCATGGTTCCGCCGCGCTCACGCCAAGCATCGGTGGGACTACCGTTCTACCTGGCGTTCGTATGGCAAGGGCGCAGGGTTCACCCGCTGTTCACCCGTGTAGGGTTCACCCGCAACCGCGCCTATAGAAACAATGGACCTACCTTACATAGCTCACCTAATAGTGAAGTACTATGTAACCAGCCGGACCAGGCCTTCAATGGGGCGAGGCTTTTTCAAAGACATCTGGATATGGACCGTCAGCAACAAAATGCGAAATATCATTGGGACAGTGAACAGAATACATTACGAGGATATGATTCACCATAAATGAGACATTTACCGCGTGTTATTCCCAATTCAACGGTCTGAAGCTATGTCACAGTTGTGTTTTACCAGCCCTGCTATTCCAGCTATGCCATATATTTATATCAGCTATGTCACAGCGCTCCGCTTACATTCCGTTCAAAATGATGAACCGGGTCCATCTTTCCAATGCCGTCCGATCCTACCGAACGGGGCGAGTTTCCGTCTTATTGTCGCGGCCAGGTTCAACCACAAACGTGATAAAACCCGAGCGTAGACCCTTCGGCTGTCATGCTTTTTCCCATATTCCGAGCCTGTTCTTTTCACGATCCAGTCATGTTGCGCTCGTACACAATCCTGACGTGAACCTGCCTTCAGTGTTCCATAGTTTTTGGTCGACACAAGATCAAAAACTGGTTTTGAGATGGCCAACAAACCCACTTTTCTCACGACATCCATTCCTTTTCGGCAGCGACTAGTGGAAAATTCATATTAGATTGCTTTGAGCACGCGCACTCACAATCTCTAGAACCTAATGCACCGATACCCGTCGTGCGGTTTCTGTCAACCCGAACGGCGTTAGTTGCTGGAACTAACACCAGGTGGTGGACGCCGAGCGCGCGCGGCAACCACGTGCCGTGACATAACGATTCTGAAAGCTTATTGAAATTCATTCGTACCATTCAGAGATAAGATTGAGGCGCATATGCCACCTTGAGCACTTTGAGGTCCATCCGCTGAACCGATTAACTGCTACAGCAACATGAATAACAGATGCAACCATCACGGCGTAAGTTCGTTGTGAGATAAATGCTAATCCCACCTGAAAAGCGTTTGAAAATTTAGCTGGTAAAACATAAGACCTAGAACACTTTCCGCAAGGACAGGATCATTTCATAAACATTCCAAGGTACTTCTTCCCGATTAGTGGTCGGTTGTGCCCCCCTCCCATTGTTCGCCGTTCATTCACTTGCTGCGTAGTTCCTTAATTTCTTGACAGGCAGATTACAAGCAAAATTGCGTGATCTGCAGTTTTTGATTTGTGTTTGCGTTAAAAAAGGTGAAACAAATAAATATCGGTTGGATAACCGTAAAATGAAATATAAACGACAAAATTCGTGGTTCCGCAAAGTCAAGTGAACCCAATCCTGTGCTTTGAGGGAAAGGGAGAGCCCCCTACCAGTAAGGGCCCTCACGCCTCGCATCCGCCTCACCAAGGCTCTAGCGGCGTCACTGTCACCTGGGTAGTTAGAATATCCACTGCTCCCCCACAGGCGTGTTGCCTGCCCAGAAAATCAAACGGCGTTTGAGAGCCGTGGTCAATCTCACCCGGCAATCATTAAGCTGACAACGGTCACGTGACCGATGGCGTCACAGACGACGACAAGCTCTATAAACTTCACAGGAATCTACAAAAGAACTTCAGGATTGCTAGGGTGAGTAGTGTTGGTCGTTTAAAATACCTGTGATTGGCACCAGAACCAAAAAGTTTTTGCACGCTAGAGAGTTAACGAAGCTTAGACCACTGTCGCATCATGGGATGTTTTGACAAAGTTATACCATTTTATTACATGGCTCTCTAATTTGTGGTTGGTCGATAATTGCACCATGCCCATGGCAGTGGTTGGTTTAGAAATCTATAAATACGGACATTTATTGCCCACAACCAGCTAAGATGACGTGGTTTTGTTAGATGCTTTTACCATTCGTTGCTCGCGTAAGATGCATATAGCAGTGGTTGATTCCAAAATCTGTAAATATGCACATTTATTTTTAACAACTAAGCTTCGGAAACATATAGGCTTTTCACGTACAATATTACCTGGCATGACCTCTGTTAGTAACTTTGTGGAACCATGTGAGCGATGACGGACCCTGAGTTGCATTCAATCAAGGCAGTATTTGAGTCACGGCTATGTCGATTAAAACAGGAAAGGAAGGCGTGAAGTTCTGTTTGTGGGATGGATGCTCTCATTGATGACCTCATAATGACGTTCCCAGCCCAGCATAAAAGAGTTCTCCAAATCGTGTGAAATAAACCAAATGATACGTGCTGACAACTTGGCAGACTCAGAACGGCTCGGAAGTTGTTCCAGAAATTTGCTGAAGCCCCCTCGTCCACCCCCACACCACCCAGTGGCGCTTGAGGTTAAAACATGAATATGACTCACGTATATTTGTTCCGACTCTCCTCATAGGCCTCTTTTCAAATCTGTTTGCGTGAATTATGTTTAAAGTGCAAGCTATTCCAGCTTTTTGTTACCATATGAGGCGTCACCAAATCGCCTGTTGCATATCACCCGGCGACTAGACGGTACCGCGGCGCTGCGGCACACTACCATCTGAGTCACACATGTCATACAAAGGCCGCGTGACGCCACCGTCTGGTCATCGGCAGTCCCCCGTGCACAGCGACCACCCGGGTCGCTGACAGTTGGGCCGCAAACGTCAGCTGACCCTCTGTGGAGCCTGAGCCCCACCGAGCGGACTTGTGCAGCTCGTTGGCTGTTGCTCCTGTCATTTTGTGAATGATCGGCTAACGGACATCAACCAACGTATTTACGGCAATCTTCATCGGCAGGTCATCGCCTTCGGATCATGTTGCGTCCAAAGCAAGGTAGGTTCGAACCGATATTCTGTGTTTTCAGGTTCTGTGTGCCCTTAAACCCTCTCTCTGATAGAGGAGTTGGTGCAACCTCCCTTCCCACGGTGTTATGAGGATACCTCTCTCACATGTTGTGCAATCGAGCCTGGATTTCAGAAGCCTATGGGGTATTTGATGCGCATGCTTTATTTGCCTGGTTTCAGAGCATCGGCGTTCTTTTAGGAAGATGCACGGCAATCTATCGCCGGTGCGGGCGGCGGGCTGCAACCGACGATGTCGCAGAACGCGCGCGGTGGGCCGACATTGCTGCATTAACCGAGCCATATGTGCTAAATGCACCCAATAGTTAGGTACAATTATCACTGTTGTAACCAAGATTGAGCATGAAACACGCCTGTTCGTCTTTGGTTTAGCTCCAAATCATGGCCTCAAAGGAATGATGTAAAGCTGAAAAAGTGCGCTTTTCCGAAAAGTTCGACCTTTGACCTGCCATCATGCGATCAGTTATTCACTTAACAACATAAACGTAGTTTTAATCACGAGGCCTTGTTGATGTTAACACTCGGGTGCTTTCCGCCCAGCTCTATCTATTTTAGTTTGGAAAAGCCTGAGATCACATCAAACCCCCTTCCAGTCCGCGTTTTGAAAAACGGCGAATCATGGCGTGGGCTCAAGCGCATCTGAGAGGGGTTTTTTTGTGCGTGTGATTGTTCAATTTTAAAGTTCAAAGCAGGTCACATGGCTGACTGTCCTTCCTAGCAGCATTATAAAATCTCTTATTAGTATTTGCAAAGCGAGCGTCGGTCAAGTGCGTTTGTAATGTTAAAGGGGGTTTTCCACATTTGTATGAGGGTTTGAACTGAAATAGCCATCTTGAGGATCATTTGATGAGTTTACAGCCCTATCCTTGTTAAGACCTAAGACTCTCTAGTTTCCGCAAAGATGTGCAGGCTTCTTGGTGCAGGCTATTTCAGGGTTGCCCAGGCAACCATAACGCAATAATAACGTCGCTGAAATGCTGCCATTCTATTGACCATGCGGCGACCAAAGCCAGTGAAGATGTAGGTATCACGTCCTTTATATCCAGCGTTCGTGAGCGCGATTTCCAGATATACCGGCCGTCCATTAATTCCCAATGTAGTGTAAGGCACGATGACGTGACCAAACAAATGACACTTTGTCATCAAACAATGATGCATTGAGTAGCATAGTTGCTAAAAAGAGAAACTGTGTGGTCCAGAGCAGTTTTTTTCTCTTAAAAGTATGGCAATAGTTATAAGTAAGTTTATTTAATCATATCTGATGTTTGCCTTAAGATCTTCAAATGTGAAACATTCCATTTAACAGCAGTTTGAAACGTCGAGTATTGACAATGTAACCATCATTGCCTTCTGGCATAGTAGAAGTTGATAACGCAGCGTAAGATCTGTAAAATTACCACGCTGAAAATGCAGGAGCAAACAATTATCTTACCTCTGTTTTTATTTTCAGGTTCATCATGGGTGCTGCTGTTTTTCGTTGTGTTGGCTGAAGCAGGTGTCCCTTCTAACCTGGACTTAAAGCTGCTGAAGGAAGTGACGTCCGATCTGAGAAAAAACCAAGCCATCGCCCCGTTCGTCATGTCCTCGCTGATGACTCAGGTCTGGCTAGGAGCCAGGGGCGGCACCAAAAACGAGGTACGCTGCTGGGAATGCGCACTCTGCACTTGTAGATTTTTGCAAAGACCATAAACAACGCAACGTGATGGAAAACGTACCACAGTCAGGATTCTGGTTTCATTCAGTTATGATAATTGGCGGCTCTTGTGTTCTCGCTGGCCTAGTCTCGCTCCTATGACCGTCGATTGATCTATTATCGTTAAGTACGATGGAAACACGTTGTAGGTATCATTTAACTTCCATGCCATGAAGCTTAAACCGCAAAAATTTGTTTTGTAGCCTTTTAACCATATATTTTAATTGGTTAGCAATTTCTACCTCAAAACTATTAATAAGAGAGAAAAAATAAAGCAACAAAAATGCGTGACCAGTTCACACGTAGTGTGTAATACGCTAAAGAGCTACACATCAGTTCTGAGATTCCGATTAGCATCTGCGTCCCATATGCCTGCAGATGACCCCAGTACTGGGACTGAGCGGGCCCAGCGACAGGTCTTTCCTGCCGGCCTACATGTCTGCCATCGACGAGCTCTCCAGCGGCTCCAGGGACGTCACCACCGCCGTCTTCAACCGCATCTACCTCCGCAACGGCCTCACCTTCAAGCTCACCTTCATGGCTCTCCTGCGGCAGTACTACGGCGCTGACATCAAGACGTTCTCCTCGGAGGCGCGGGCGGCGGCCCAAATCAATGCCGATGTGGCCAGGGTGACCGCAAACCGCATCACGGACCTCATCTCCGCTCAGGCACTGCGCGAATCGGGGCTGGTGCTGGTGAGTGCACTTTATTTTAAGGGCCAATGGCTGAAGACGTTTAAGCGAACAGTCAAAGGCCCGTTTTTGACCGATGCCGGTGAGAAGCAGGTCGATATGATGAACCAGTACACGGTGCTGCCCTACATCAAGAAAAAGACGTTTGATGCCATACCGCTGCCGTACAAGGATGAAGACTATGTCATGTTACTTCTTCGTCCCCTGACGCGTGATATGGCTGCTGTCAGACGTCTGCGCAATTCTCTGGGCTACCTGGATATCGCTGATATCATGCGACAGCTCAACAGGCGGCAGCGTGTCCGTGTTGGCATGCCTCGCTTCAAGATCACGGCGGACTATTCGCTGAAACGCACCATGAAACGTCTAGGGATCAAGAAAATATTCCTCCCTTGGGCCGATTTCGGGAACATCAGTGACGAGAGGCTGGAAGTCAGCGAGATCGTACACAAGGTATTCATCGAAGTTACGAAGGAAGGCACCGAGGCCGCCGGGGCAGGGGCCGTGGTCTTCAGACGCAGGAGCAGTGCGGTACGGCGGACGCCGCGTATTGTCCGTTTCACTTTGGATCGACCGTTCTTTGCAGTTCTATGGCACAAAAAGCACAAGATCAACCTATTTTCGGCATACGTTGCCTCGGCCGTAGGCCTGTCACATGCGAGAGGAACGTCACTCCCCCACAGTCGTGGTACAGCATGGCTGATCGGACCGTCCGGCCAATCACGGGGGCGAAAAACGCTGACGTCACTAAGGTTAACCCGAGGTGCCCGATCTGTGCCGGGCCCAAGCCAATAAAACTGACATCACGACAAATGGCCTTCTGTAATGGCTCTTGTCCAGCCACGAGGCAGCAGGCGAGAAACGGTGGCTGGTGTTCTTGTGCAGAGAACACAGCGGACATGGAATGAGGGGCGTGAACGTCGTGTACGCAGTAGGGTAAGGCGAAATATTTAAAATCAAGGCATCCGGGATCAAAACGCGCTTGCATTCATGTTTATAAACTAGGAGTCGCGACCAAAAGTACCATTGAAATACTTAAGATTGGGCGCATGGGAAATTTTTAAGCACAAAAACAGCCCGTCAAGCGTAAAAATCCTGAACTGATAGAGGCTCTGGGCAGAGGAAGATAACGGTGGGTGCTGTGAATCTCAGTCATTTTTCGGCAGTCGGCGCCGGGGGATTACAAATGACGCTAAAAAAAAAAAAAAAGACTGCGGGTGGTTTTATTGCCGCCATCGCAGAGCGTCACGCAACATTCGATCATTGGCCTCTCCTTATAATCTTACCCTCCACCAGCACCGATCGTGAATATTGTCCGATTGCTCGTCTGAAACAGGTGTCACTGCAGTGCATTGTAACCGCACAACAATCACTTACTCGCAGACATTCACCGAAACCGTCCTTAACGCTCACGGTTCATTATAGTTCGTCATAACACGTATTCTTCCTTGTTTCCATCACTGGCGAATCGGTTCTGATTTGGGCTTCAGGCAGTATCAGCGTACAACGCCAAGTGTGTCCCACCTTTTGTCTGCTGCCTGGCTCACCTTCTTTACCTATCTTGCGATCCTCTGTGCATGACGGGGGACTCGATAAGGTCCACCGGGCCTCCGTAGTAGCAGCGATTTCCATAGTCGGTGATGGCCCATTTGCATTTTTCCGAATAAGGATTTACTGGTACTACTCCGCATTGTCACATTTGTCAGGAGTGATGAACCGCCTTTTGCCATTAGATCCTTGCTCCTGGCATCTTTTCTTGCGGCGTCTCCTGATCCAGCCCGGATTAGCTTTGAGGCCCCAACATCGTGGGGAAGAGCACTGAGGGCACGAGCACTCTTATCTTATCAAACTGTTAAAATCACATCGTCTGTGTGAGAAATACCAGATCGCCGCTTTATTGTGTACCTCAGGGCTTCAAAGCTGCCCTGTGCGGGATGTGCGCCCCCGCCCTCGCTGCCTTTCGAGCTCTGCGTCTGACTGGATGCCGGGGGGCGTCACGTGACTGCGGGTCTCTCGATTCACCGGGGGTCAAGGGTCGGCAGCTGAGGCGGAGGCAGGGGCCCGACGTTCGCAAATGCCAGTCGGTTTTTGGATGAGTCCGTGCAAATGCATCGCTACGTTCTCTTACAAATGCTGCAACAAAAACTGCTGTTGCTTCTCACTGGTGCGTCAGGTCCGGGACATATAGTGAAGTCAGTGGTGTGTGTATGGGTGTGTGGGGGGGGGGGGCAAAGGTGTGGAAGAGGCGGGGAAGGGGTAGGGATGATCCGACCGTCTGTGAAGGGTGACATTTCAGCTGTCAGGACGGGGCCGGGCCGGCTGACTCCGACCGATGTTGCCCAGTTCCCCCTCCCCCTCTCCCTCCTCTCCGAAGGAGTGGCGCCATTCAGCCTTCCATTGCAGACACGCTTGGGCAGGGACGAGTGTCAACTGCGTGGTTCGCCCCTTCGGATCATCGCTGGTGTGATGTTTGTCTGCACCGCGCCGTTCCCCAGGAAACGAGACAGTACATTGTGGTCGCGCAAGCTGTCTCTCTCATGCATCCTTAGTTTTACCAATGGACTTATTCAAAACGCAATGTTTCTCGCCTTTTGTGATTCTACTCGGTGTCTTGAACCTTCGGGTGTCTTAGCCCGAAAGACATTACCTGGGAGAAGCACGGCCGTGGAGCGACACGGAAGAGTCGTGGTTTCATTACGAGCCACTCGTGGTAAGCCCATGGGCGCGAAACCATATTTACTACACCTCATCATGCACTCCATTTTGCTGGAATGACAAAAAGAAGTTGGATGCTCTAAGGTGGCGCAGGGAGTGTCACACTGCACAGTCAATAGGTTTTGTTCTGCCACAAAATTATCTTACTTCCAAATACTGCGAGGGTCAAATTGGTCGCGTGTATTTTTCCAAATCACTCGCTATACCCAAATACGTACAACCGAGTGTCAGCAAAGGCAATACAAGAATGGCAAAAAAAGCATTATCCGTACCTGGAATGTCTCCATAGCGAGCGCAGTGAGGCTATTTTTCACTACAATCACGTAGTTAGGTTATTTTACACGCCATTCTTTTTGTACGAAGATGATCAACATAATGAACGTTGTAATGCTAATGTCAAGGACTCATGTGGCCGCCAAATGACCACAACACTTCCTTCCAATCTTAGGCTATTTTAAAAATGATTGGAAGACCTTGAATATATTTGCAACTGTCTATTCGTTTAGCCAGTCGTATAAATGATGTCCGCCAAGCACTTCAGTCAGGCTCGTGCATTTCCTGAACTAGGTACACCACGCTAAATACCACTGCCTCAACGATCGCCTTTGTGCTAGCAAGGCAAATAGCCCCGTACGTGAAGCTAGTTTTGTAGGATATCATTGGCCCCGTCAGCTGGTGACACCTGCTCCCTCCCCCCCCCCCCCCCCCTGAGCACTCCGTTTTGACGCTGCCCTTTGGAGTTGACTCTGACAGTTCTCTGACTCTGACTCTGACAGTTCTCGCTAGCACCGACATGCAAGCTGTGCTCTGCTGTACATTATCTCTGGTTCTGGGTTCGTGGCTCCCTGTTATCAGCGTCAAAATTTGAAAGCATTGTACAGAATGTCTTACTAATTAGTCATTAAAAATCTTGCATGCAAGTCGTTGAGTGCATTTTGGGATAAAACGTGCGCAAAGAAAACAGAACAGCAATAGTCTTATTTCTCGTATAAAACCAGGGGAATGGAAATAAAGATGCGTTCATATTTCAGCAACATGCATTTATCGAAACTAAATAAGAGTGTATCCAGAACTGCCTGCGGATGATGCCATTCAATATCCAGGTTTCCTTGAAAGCAGTGTCCAGCAGGTTTTCCAGTTTACCAGCATTCAGGGGATAAAACAAGGAGCAATGCTAGTCATTTATACGATACAATGCTTATCTATAGGGAATTATAACACGAAAAAATACGCGTACAATTTAAAGTAAACAGGCATCACGCATCATGCTTCATTCAAACATACAAGCCAGTTCGATTTAACAGGTATCACACATCGTGCATCAGTTAAGCATGCGCACGAGTTTGATCAAACAGGCATCGCGCATCATGCGCCATGCATCACTTGCACATCTAAACATCTAACATGCATCACACAACAAGGCACATATCACGCTCGCATAATCGGCCGTGATGAGTCCTATGCGTCAAGGTTTTGTCGCCGATTTTTATGAGAATTACTTTACTTATTTTCGTATCTAGATGGTCTTGTGCTCTCTAGCTGAAATTCAGCTCTAAAAGGGGCCTAGGGTCCCTACCTGCCCTGGATTTCAACTTAGCGTGTTTTGCCAAAAAGAAAGGTCACCGAGAGGTGTATCCCTTGGTTTGTTTTAGCGTCTCGCGGATGTTTGTCATATCTCAAACGAATGGGGCGCGTGGACTGCCGACATAGACTATGCGCCTTTTACGTTTTTTCACAGATATTTTACTTAATCTCGAAAATCATGTTTTTTGCCTGCAAGCACCCTGAAACTCAGACATGCATGACATCTAAGGCCACCCTAGCACTTAGGCTCCGAGATAGAAGATTTCACCAGATACGTTTTTAGCTTACTAATGCTTTTCCAGGCCACGTGAACCTGAGGTTTTGATTTTCTAACGATATGTTTGATTTTCCAAAGCAAGTACTCTTTTATGCAAGTTGGCATTAAGAATCCGTCGTCCAAAAGGACGTGTTCCCGCTTTCTACCACCCATCCCCTTAGGCGCTCTAGATTTGTATACATCTTCCCGTAAAGCACATTGTTTCGATAAAGACATGCCTATTTCGGCCTATCGAAGCAAAACACTTTGCTTCGATAGGCCGAAATATCAACTAATCGTTATCTCCATTCTGCTGACTTTTCTACGAGGAATAAGGCTCTTACTACTCTCTTTTCCTGGATGGAGGCATGTTTTAATATAGCAGGTCTAATTCCATTGTTTGTTTGGTAGAGCTAGAATAACCGAACTTGACAAACCAGGTGACAAATTGCTATACATGGTTTATATGGGTGGCTTTCGGTTCATATCACATGCTTACATGCTACTACGCTTGCTGCTGCAGCTGCTGCTGTTGCACCTGCTTGTACGCTGAACCCACCACACAAGTTATTCCGCCCAGTTCAACGAAAAGTTTTAACTCCGCCCTTTCGCCGGACAGGACCGCGGGGTTTTACGTGCCGCACAATGTTGCCACACAGTGCCGCGCCACGGCCGCCCCGGACCTGGCTCGATCCTCGCTGGCCCGTTGCTGGCTGACCTTCCCATTTCAGTTGGCCCAAATAATGCAACCACTCTGGGCACTCCACTCCACCACTCACACCAACTGCCTCTGTATTACGAGTATAGCGTCACTCATCTAGACCACACATTCAAATGTTGCCTTTGCCTACTGACTTGGTGCATCGCTTCGCGATAAGACTCATACATCGACTTACCCAGACACGCTTACAGAGTGGTGTCTGCTATTTTGTCTACATAAGACCGAGAAATAAAGATTGGCTGACCACCCGAATAATTCCCAGAAATTATTACAGTCATCAACGCGGTCATGACATGAGCTGCAATAAACCACCTTCATTTGTTTGATTTAGACCAGCGACGTATCGCACTATATACATGATCACCACGTAGGATAATCCACGTCAATCTTCGATCAGCCACGTGTCCCCTTAGTCTAGGAGACTTGACACAGGGTCGCAGTCAAATCCTGATGTTCTCTCGAGATAATGTGTGGAATGTTTCACGCCTCATGCAGTCTCTAGTTTTCTTTTTGGTGTTTTTGCATCTTGGT